TAATACTCTTTGTACAAAAGGAGGATCTCTTTACTTATTGACCTTGTGGATATTGCTTTGATGTTTGAGGAGGTAAGTACGCGGTTCAAGAATTAGTAGGAATATCAACACTCACCGGAGTTCATGTACATCCACTTGATTGGTCCCTAATATGACGAAATGCTTATCATGGAATCTGTTGCAAGATACTCTCAAATATATTATAAAGGTGTTGATACCACATAATTTTGTTGATCTCTGAACAGACATTGGAAACCTGTCGATGTTGCTCCGTTCGTTCCGGATCTTTTGAAAGATTTGTTGTTGGCTTCCTCAAAATGAAACACATTACATTTTTATATTCTTACAGATCACAAGGATTTTTCATCAGTTATTGATTCAAATAGCAGAAATAATTGAAGGCATCATCGAATAATAAGTTAAAAAGTTAAGAATCTTTATTATCACGAAATGTCAGCTTCTAATGTTAACAAATGGAAGTCCCAAAGATCATGTAGGATCCCTTGAAGTTAACGACATACAAATCTTGGTAAGTAAATTGTAGATATTGTTTTTATGATACTTGTAATTTCCCGTTGCTATACAGCGCTGAATTGCTCAATCTCTGTTGTTGACAGGTGAGCTCCTATGAGGATGCCTCGATACTTCTGAATATTCGTGATATTCATCTTTATAACTAGCAGGGGGATCTAGGACACCCGTTTCGTCCTATTTGAGACTCTCCAGCTGCATGTACCCGCACCTCAGTGAGCGATATCGTTCCCACTGAGACTTGGACCCAGTACCCATTGCTTCAAACATGAAGATTTTATCCACTAGGCTACTGGGGCACGGAAGCTACCTCATGTACAACGGGTATCAGTTGTCGTTATGATACTTGTATTTCCCCATTGTAGACATTCTGGATAACTTTATCACAGATAATGGCCTGTTTTGGTTTAGACAGCTATTTATAATAATAATAATAATAATAATAATAATAAGCACTTCATTCCGGATAGTAGTTTCTAATTCATTATGGAATTCTAAGTGTGATACTATAACAAATTTACTCCTTGTACCATATTTTCGAATCAAATAACTATGGCAGTTAATCTGATGTTAGTAATAAAGGTATGATAATCAACAAAGACCAGTTGTTTTTAGGTTAAAGTCTAGTTTTTGAGTACGTTTGTGCACTAGTGGGTGGAAAGAAGAGAAAACACTCGTAAATTTGTTGGTGAAGGTTTATTCATCTAGTATGAAAACTTGCACTTCCAGCGAACTATTCTTCTACTAGCTATATGATTTACTGTTGTGCGCTCAGGGACCCAACGCCATCTACCATGATATTTTTTCGTAATTTTATTGTTAACTTGCCCGTCGATAGGTTGAAGACATTTTATGAATGTACGAACTTACATTTGAGTGATTAAAATAAACAAAAAGTAGAAAGATTCAATGAAATATCCTCAACAAAATTTCTTCACTATTCACAAAGCGAGTGTTTTTGTTCGATCATTTGCACTGGTAATGTTATCATACCACTATGAAATGTTGCCAAGTAAGTTATTCGAATCTTTTTCGTTAGCGTTTTTCAGTTCTCTTTATCTGACAAACATATATCCTCAAAAAGGTTCTAAGTAAAACAACTTAGAATTGATAAACAGGTGTTTAGAAGTTGCATAATAATCTTCAGAATTACAAATAAAGAAACTTTTTAATCGAGTTAAAAGGACTGAAATATCGTTACAAATTGGAGTACAAAATTTCAATCTCATTTAGTAATCCTAGTCTTAACTTCATCCTGATCAGAGAGGGTTATTTGTAATCATTTATTAGGTAGTATGCAAAGATGTATATAGCGATTGAGTTCATTGAAATGTAATAAAGTTAATACATATAGTTTCACATTTTGACACGTCTACCCCTTTTCCGTTCAATAATACATATAGTTAACGCTATCAATCAGATAGAATAGCTGAAACTGGATCACTGACTAATTTTCGACAAACCTGAAGTATGCCAAATTTACCACTAAATGGACGTTTCTAATTGCTCTATATTTTACTCAGATGACAAGTATATCAGAATAAGAGCACAGTCAACGAATGGTCGATGAGATCGAAAAAGTCTAAGATGAATCCAAAATATTTTGCTACTCCAGCAGTTTTGTTTGTTTGAAAAGGAGTGACTGATAAAGTTGAGTTTTAATGGTTATATCAAAAATACATTTTTCTGTGAATTATGAAAATAGACTCAACTTCTATTATACCAGGAAGATCTGTTGGATAGCAGTTAGATTAATAAAGTTACTTTTATTGTGTAAACAGATTACCTTACAGTGGAAGGAGAGGGTGGCCGGAAACATCATGCTGTTGGGCATAAGGAAAGTGACAACAGTTAGGCGTTTCTCGTGGATGACTGGGATCCAATCCTTTTATTAAGAGGAAAGAGTTAGAAGTTGATCCTAAAAATAGAACACTGATTCTTTTTTATGCTTTACCACTGCTGGATGTATCGACTGTTTTTTTTGACATGATACAACATAAAATCAAACCTTAATCTCAAACTCTTAAGCAAATATATTTCAGGCTTTGTAGTTGAACAAAACTAATCAATTTACGCTTTCAGGTAGTGGATGAAAACACTGACTTCCACATTCTGAGCAACCAAGGAGTACAAGTATCTAAGATGTTTCTCGTGTTGTCCAAGACTCACCTAACCGTATTCAGTAAAGCTGCTTTGAATTGAGTTTAAAGAAAGTTTGAACTAGTGAGTTATATTGCTACACTTTTTGCATAGGTAACTTATGTTGTACAGCAACGGACTCATAACCACATTATCTGGTTGTATATCATTCTTGATTTTAGTTATCTATAAACTATTTACGTTGAAATTTATGAGGATTTCATTTCTAAGGTTGTATTTGTAACGGGGAACTATTGAAAACCTTGGACTGGACAGCTATTTCGTCCTGGTGTGAACTTTTCAGCAGTAGGCACTCACAATCCCACAAGGGATCCAACTCACTACCTCCAGGTTTGACGGAGAACGCGTTGGCCATTTAGCTACTAGTTCACAGTTCCCTACCTCTATTAATTCGCGAGATAGCGTGATCATCCACCATAATCTTTCTTTGACATTTGCTTAACTTCTGACTGGTTGACGCCGCAGGTCACGCCTTCTCATTAGAACTTTGTGGTATCCATCTCCAAACATGTTACTAATGAAGATTGTAAGGTGATGTATTTTTTGGCTAGTGGGGATGTTTTTTAAATAATGTATTTATCCAAGGTTTTCACAATGGTTTTTTAACTGATATCAGACCGTGAAGAACACTACTTTAAAATTATAAACGATTTAGAAGGCAGTAACCATTTGAGCACATCAAAACTAGAATCCATCTACCATTATCTGTCCTTCACTTATAGACAAAACTCAACTAAAGGTGTAGCGTTTTAGCTAAAGCCCCAATTTGTTCCGTTCGAGGTGATAAGTAATTCGTTTTCTCGTACGAGAATAATAATTGATAAGAAGCATAGATGGTTTTATCAAATGATTATTTATGGACAATAATTATACGTTTGAACGATTTAAGATAAACAGTGGGAGATACGCTAGGTACGTGAGCAGTAATAGGAATAGATGAGATCTGAAAAGAGGAAGGAGGGTAGTCAAGTTATTTCTTATAGTTTACGTTGGTTGAAATAAAGCTTTGCAGACTATTCGCTCACTAAGTATGCCAGTAGAAGATGATGAAGGAAATATGATTAGCAAAGAAGAGAAACAAAGGAACAATGGGCCGACCACTTCAAAACACTCTCGAATCGACCACCACCAGCACCACCACCACTACCACCACCACCTGAAACTCGTCCAGAAATACCACCAGCAGCCCAGCCACAAAATTACCAGTGAACACAAGCCCTCTGACGAGAGTCAAATTCTTGAATGCCATAAGGCTACTGAAATGCGGGAGAGCAGCATGACCAGATGGGATCCCACTGGAAGCAGTGAGAATAGACGCAGGGACAACAGCAGACATGCTCACACCACTATTGCAGAAGGTTTGGAAGGAAGGAAGGAAAAGGAATGCACTAAGAAGACCATTTGGGGACATCACATACCAGTCTAGGCCCTCGAGTGAAACCCAGATGGGAAACGACGAGTTGGGCATCCGAGGGTGACACGGAGATTGTGTGAGGAAGAAATAAGAGCTTCTAGGCTGTCGTGGAGCCACGTTCTAAAGATTGCAGAGAATGGAGTGAAGTGGAGACGTGTTACCGAAACCTATTTTCCACTAGGAACCCAAGGGACAAATAATAATATTGATAATAAGTATGCCAACAAGTGTTCTCTTCAGGATTATATTCGTAAATAAGGATAACTAGTATACATGGAGATAGTATGAATTAACTATTCATCTTCATTTACATTAAGCCTGTGATTGGGAAAGTTCGTTGCTGAATTTTCGAAAATTATGCTTCATTCTTAAATGACGTAAAGAAAAATGACTTAGATGTTCTAAGAATGTCGCATGTTCACTTGGCATTTACAACATGTTCAGACTTCATAATCAAATTTCATCAAATCTGTCTTATGTCTCTTGAGCTAATCTTCTTCACATACAAAAAACCCACTAGAGTTCACCTGTGTTTGCAGAAGAAATTTATATAGCCTTTAGTTATTATCAGTCAACCATCTTCTGGTTGATAAGTCTAGTTTACATAGTCTGTGCAAATCTTCATGAAAAATACATCAGCATTACTTAGTGTTAAAGATGACATACAGAAAGGAGTTAAGCGTTCTCCTCATCGGAATTCAAGTTACGCGACATCCCTTACTACCAGTATAAATAAAAAGACAATCCTATTGTGCACTCATAAAATCACGCGAATTTTTTTTAGAAATGCTGATTATAGCTGCCGGGAAACTTAGTCATATTTCTGGCAAATACTGTTTGGCAACTGATGGATCCTCTCTGTAGGACTAGAGAAAAATAGTACTAAAGAAATAGAATGGGAATAAATGGAAATGAAGACGATCCAACGATGTGCACAATAACAAATAATAATACTGAAATTCGAAAGATGAGCAACAGATCTCCTACATTTGATCCAAAAGATGTTCAGCTTATTTTGTAAGATCATGTTTATCTTCAACTAGATGTATTATCCCAAAAACTTAACCTGTGTAAATGATGCAAAGAATTTCAGAGCTTCTAACGCTGCTGTCTTTAAGTGAATATTCTTTTCAAATGCTTAGGCTGTAAATTTTTAAGATTCCTAGCCACTAGAGAGTAGTCAATCTTGTGTTATTCATTCTTTAACTTAGAGAGGATTCTTGCTTAAAAGTTTGCAGCCTGGTACTCACCTTGAACTGACATCATTTGGAGGAACATTGGAAACCCTGGAGCACTGGCCAGCTATTTCGTCCTAGCACATGATTCCCCAGCAGTACGCACTCATGACTACACCAGGAGTTGGACCCAGGACCTTCAGTTTCCGTAGTCAGCATGCTACCACTGAGTCAGTGGGTCGGAATCCAATGATCTACATTTCCTACTTCTGTCAATTCACAATATAGCACAACCTCCATTCAGTGGTGCCGATGAATAACATTTGACTTGTTTAATCTCATGGGTCACGACTTCTCATTGGAACTTCGGGAATCACCTCTCGAGGTAGTCATCAATAAGCACTAGAATAATGCAACTTAGAGGTTTATGGGAATTCACTTATTGATTTCAGGTTGGTATTCATCCTAGAGTGACATCACTCGGAGTCCTATACTAGGAGGAAATAGCCATCCAGTGCTCCAGGTTATCTATGTTCCTCTAACTTGCGTCATTCTACGATGAATACCAACCTGAAATCAATGAATAATATCCCAAAAACCTTCAGATTGAATTAAAAGTTGGCATTGTCGCCACAAAATAAGAGATTTTTCGGAACGGTAAGTCGCATTTGCTTTTTATTAATTGAAGATTTTAAAAAATGAGAAATAAATTCGGATCTCGTGTTTGTTGTGAGTTATTAACTAGATGCATGCGTGATATAGAATAAATGTATCAGGTACTTAAACCCCCATCATTTATGATTGCGATTTCGAAAAGCTCTGTTGGTATCCTATTCAACTGAGTGATAATCTTCTTGAATGGTGCCCTTACAATTATCATGAAGTTTATATGAATACTATTTGTTTGACTTTAAAGTATTAAGACTATATCCTTTAAACAACTGAAATACTGGTAGTCATTTTATCAAATATTGTTCACTACTCCGGATATCCATTATGTCACTCCTTATTCTTATCTCTTAGGCGAGTAATCAGTCAGTCACTTGAAATCAGTATTACCTGTGGTGTAACACACTTAGTTGACTCGTCTAAAGCTCCAGATACATTAAGACATTTTATATTCAGATCCTGTATCAAATATCAACCCATGCCTGGTACCTTCTTTATTCAACATCAGAGAAATGAAGTTAGTAATGACAACTTCTTTGGATTTACTCTGGAGAGGCATATACAAACTGAACGGATAATATATGTAATCAAACCAAGACAAAGGAAATTGATCATCAATAATTAAGTAGAACCGACCGGTCTCTAGGACTGAACAAGCTGGTTTTTTATAAAAGCTGAGGAAAATTTTTCCACAAAACCCTATCAATTTTTGATGAAACTACATTCTGTAAGATGGATAGCTTACTCAATACACTTTTTCTAGTGTATTAGAAAAGCCTGATGATTCAACTTGTTATGCAAGAATGGATAATGTCACATATTCTTCTCCATCATCACCAACAAAATCAGCTTCCGGTTATTGTTCCATTTTGTAATGTATCAAAACTTTTCTTGTTCCAAATTTCGAACCAAAGTTTATTCCTGAATAACACGATAGCAGAATGTAGATATTGAATTTAAGAGAAAATGTCAAATTTAATCGACCACTATTTCTGACTTTTCAGTTTCTAAATTCATTTATCAAATCCGGTAGGCTTCTTGAAGCAGAAGGTTACACAATAAGTTGTAATGTGTAGCACCTGATAGACGATATTTCCATACACTTAGGACTGTAAATCAACCGAAAGAATACCGATTGTTAGAGTTTCAGAAGCTGTTCATGAAAAAATTGAATATTTCACAACAGTAATAAGTTTGGTTTGTTACTACTGTCTATTCAGGTATTATTATTATTATTATTTGTCCCTTGGGTTCCTAGTGGAACATAGGGCTTCACTAGCACATCTTAAGTGTACTCTGTTCTCTGCAATCTTTTGAACCTGGCTCCACCACTACCCATAAGCTCTCATTTCTTCCTCACATCATCTCCTGCATGTCACCCTCAGCTAAGACGCCCAACTCGTGGTTTCCCATCTGGGTCCCACTCGAGGGCCTGGCCTGGCGCGTGATGTTCCCAGTCGGCCTTCTCAGTGTATGCCCAATCCATCTCCACTTCTTTCCACTGCACATTTGTTGAGAGATAGGTTCTTGCTTTGTTGGTTCATCGCCATGCCAGAGTTCCTTGTTGCTTATTCTTTATGACCTTCTCATCTAAGCTTCAGTAAGGAGCCAGCGTAGGCATTTGTTGGAAATGCTTTTCGTAACGCGCCAAGTCTCTCAGCCATACAGAAGCACTGACTTGACGTTGGTGTTGAAAATCCGGATCTTGTTCCACATGCTGAGTGCAGGAGATCTCCACACTGGTTTCAGGTTAATTCAGGAGGGCCTGTCTTGCTAACTTTCCGATCCTGGTTGGCTTTGACATCCTCGTCTGTGCCTATGCCGCCTGTAGTTGAAACAGTGCTGCCTAGATAGGTGAGTCTATTCAGATAGTTTCATTTAATTCTAACATGCTGAACTTGTTCAACAATGATGTAGTAGAATCTGAACAGGAATCTTCTATTCATAAACTCACACAGTCTAGTCTTGACCTCATCAATACTAACAGAATAATGTTTCCCGAGGTTTATTCGCTTATTAGACATGATCTCTGCTACTCTGATAATTAAAGCTTATAGACAATGAATATTTGTAAAGGAATAAAGTATTTCATGAATAATTTTGACATAAAATATGACCTATTCACATACACATGTAAAAGATTATCTGGTATAAATTTATTGAAATGGTCAAATTTCTGCTTTCTGAAATAAGACTTTTTTTTAAAACGAACAAGAGCTTTCAATTTCTTCAAGATAATACAAATTTTTAGTTACAAAGAATAAAGGTAAAGAAGGGGAGATATAAGCAAAGTTATATTTTCCTTCTTTGACGTTTTTATTAGTTTTCATAAATATTATCCAAGTTTTGTTATCCTTAGTAGATGTTTTATTTTCAAAACTTCATCTAACCAAAGATGTAGGATATAATAAAAACAAAATTATCAGGGATATTGAACAAAATTTGCATATTCGACACATTAGTATAAAGTCTAGACTACCAGTACTCTAGGAGTATCACTCATATTACTACTACTGGTACTATTACTACTACTACTACTACTACTACTACTACTACTACTACTACTACTACTACTACTACTACTACTACTACTACTACTACTGCTACTGCCACTGCTACTGCTACTATGCTTACTGTTCGTACCATTGACAGTCGTAATTGGGCATTAGAATACTGTGACTACAAAGGAAAGGGGAATCATGTAAATAATGGTTAGTGTAAGGTTTTGTTCATCTTTGCCTTATTAGCGCATTTAGAATAAAAAAACTTTATCCATTTTTCAGCTTTTCATTATGAAAGTGATTAATAGACTTGACAAATAAAGATCATAATTAACTTGTTGATATTCGAATAAATAAAATTATGCATAAACAGTCTATTCAAAGATCTCTGATGGATTTCAGCTATTTCTACTGTTCATATTTTATTTTTGCATACAAAGTTTACTAGACATGTATTCAAGCTTGTCTCATTGGTGTATGATAGATATTCGGATATCTATTCCCTAAGATGGTAGGTATAATGTTGAACATCTTATATATAACTTCTTTACTTTCTACCCAATGATAATGATATAACTTATATTGATTCAATGGAAGATGAAAATTTTCTAAGGCGTAGTAAAAGTGTACTGCTCATGAAATGAGGTTTAGTCGACTTATATACTTCGAAACAATGATAAATTCTTAAGCTGTTGGGTTCCCCTACTTTATAATATGCATGTTAGACGGATGTGATTAAAAAAAATTAAATAAATAACTGTCAATTGGAAACTTATTGCCTAATGAAACCATTTATTCCACAGGAATACTGATAATCTGAGATAAGCAGATAAAAATATTAATTCACTTATCTTTGGGTTTATGAATTTCTCATTGTTATTTAAATGCACTCAATGCTTTCAGTCATCACCCAGTATCAATGATATAAGTCTGCCAAACCATGACTATTTCAGATAGGCAAAATGATAATCAATATGATACTCCTCGTCTTTAATTCAGCTCAGTTTGGATTAGAATGAGAAGTCCTGTCTGGATAGCGAATATGAATACAATAAATAGACAGTTACGCAGTATGAATTCACATGGCAGTCGGTCAAAATCCTTGGTGAATGAAGTGGAATTAGGTCTGATCACCAGAGAGGTTTCGCAGCTGAGTCGGTATAGCGCTAGGCCAGTAACCTATGACTTAGATTTCTCTTTCACCCCCACTGTCATCCAAAAAATGTCGAAAGATAAGTTGTCTGAGTTAGGTAAGTTGAAATACAAACAGTTCCTCTATTTGACATGCCACAAAATGGATTTCTAAGGTACATAAGAGTACTTTATTCCTTAGGTAAGTGGGAAAACAACTTTTAGTAATAGGTACATATTATATCAAAATACATCGAAATTAACGATCTATTAGTGCTTCGATTATATTTAATAACCGAGCAAATTGGAAATGTTTTATGCATTAATGTCCTAAGGAGTGTCAATGGACAGAAGAAATGAATAGTTTTAACACTGATTGAGAAAAAACAAACCGAAGTTGAAATCTCAAATATGATTGAATCACTAGACATAATCCTCCCTATGTATTTATAATTCATTGTTCAAATTTAAACACAAATGAAAGTAACATCTTTGAGCTCATTGATTTTCACTCTGAAAGCTAAAGTTGTGGAGTAGATGCTTAAATCAGTGGTTACAAATATGATATCTTAATTCTTCAGAAGAATTTTAGTTGAAGATATCTACAGTTTGATCAGCAATGTTATCACAGGAATCAATTAACTTAGTGCGAAGGGGGTGATCTTTTGGCCTTCATGGATTTCATCGTCACTTGGAAATGAAGGCAGAAGTTGTAGACCCAAGTTTTCACAAAGACAGCTCATAGGGATGGACGCTACGACTACAGAAGCAATTACATAACAGAGCACAAGAGTTGTGTAAGGATACTTTTTAGAAGAGCGGAAACATTATGGTGCAAAGATGTTGGAGAAAGAGGAGACTAAATACTCGCTGAGAGTATTTCAATCCTGTGAATACTCAACAGGGTTTGTTATCAATTGACCTCACAAACAACTCGCATAAATCTACTGATCAGCTAGACCGATTCCTGTTTATAACGGTGCTTATTTTTTCCTGATCGAAAGGGAATAAGTATTCATCTCAGGTTGTCTCCACTTGCATCTATCAATTTTTATATGCTTGATAAAATAAGGATATTAAAAGGTGAGCTGTTTTTCTACACCTCTGAACATATTTCAGAAGTTTTTTGACTAAGAAGATCTCAGTCACTTACAAGTGCAATCAGTCGACATTTGATCGGTTAAAGACGTGACGTGGATATATCAATTGCCTGTGAAAATCTAATTCAGCTTCGGTATTCTGGGTGCTGAATGAACTGACTATACACGACATGGAAATAGGTATTCTTGTATCCACTATCAGAGTACTATTTCTGAAATGTACATGAGTCCTATAGACAACCACCCCTTGGCCTAGTCTTGGCTACTTTTTTATGTAGAATTGGAGAATGGTTCGCTAAATGAAATGAACACCTGACTGGAACTATATACGGATGGTACCTTTATAGCTCTCCAAATATGAGTGATAAGAATACTGTTCTGAGAAGTTTAATAGTGTTCATCAGGCAATCAAATCCACAATAGAAGAAGAGTGAAATGATGGTATTCCATTCTTCCACTTCACGTTGCAGAAGCTATGTCAATCACCCTTTACAAACCTAATCTTTGTATTCAAAAGAAATTTGTTATTAACACACTTGCATTATCATGGCCGTCATCATGACATAACTTCTAGTATTATTTTGTACCCGCTGTTCCATCTCATTCATAGGTAATTACTTATTTTCTAGATGAATAGGGATTTTAATTTAGAGGTGGTATTGATCTCGAACTGACATCAGTTAGGGAACCAGTGAAAACCTGGGAGGAATGGATACCTGTTTCATTATAGTATGTTGAGCCAAATGTGAAGATATAATTGAGAAGAAATATATTTTTTTGCTCAATCAGTTTTTTTTCTAAATGTCTAGACGGAAGTTGGATAGAAACCTAGAAACGAAAAAGTTCATTTGATCCTGTAAATTTGGTACTTGTCACTTTGGTGAAAATATTCAAGAGAAGAAATTCTATGGAGGATAAATTAAATTAAATGCAAACGAACCCTGTAGCTCTATCCTTTTTGGATAGACTAGTTTCACTTGAAAATAATTTTTTCTAATGTCATATTACATAAAGTGAGACTGATAATCATGGATTAGTCGGGAGGTAAATGTTTGAAATATTTCCTAAATGGACTATTTCTGTGTCTGAATCATTTTTATCAGTGACCACTCTATGATTCAATAGCAGAATATACTAACGTTTATTGCTGATAAAAATATTATGACCAACTATAACTAGAAGGCGTATATTAGGAATCTGTTTTACACTATTAACCTGTTTATGAAGTTCCCTAAAAGGTACTACCATGAATGAAGCATTTCTTCATCACTTTTAGTTGGCTCCAATTGTTATCAACAACTAGTAAAATAATTTATAAAACTAACTAAAATTCCTTATGAATCTCCCTTGTTGACTGGACCAAATTGATCTGCCATTAATGACATCTGGGCTGCTGTGTAGATGCCTCAATATTGCCGGTATTTTTTAAATTTAATATTAATGATGGATAGTGGCTAGCAGTGGAATCCAGTACATGCGTTTCGTCCTGTCTGGAACTCGTCAAGTAGATGTACCTAGACCCTGGCGAGTGATGCTGTTCCCACCGAGACTTGAACTCAGGATTATTCACTTCAAACTTCAGAGCGTTTTCCAGTGGACCACCGAGTCACGATAGTCAAGTTTAGCCGTATCTGGGCATGTGTTCTACATATTTAAGCTATCTCAGGCGATGAACGCCCACAAACTCATCATTCAGTTTATTTGTCTTCTCTAGTACCCTAACGAAGCGTTCAGTCTAGAATGAAAGTGATTATATCAATCACTTGCCTGTCATGTTAAATTTCAGGAAAGCGATCTCAAAAAGATCTCATTGCAAGATAAGTTCATTTTATTTAAAGGTTTGTTTTCGGTGGCACGTAGCCAAAAATGAAAAAAATCATTACAGACAATAAGCAGATCAAGGACACTCTTCAACTCTTTCAGGTACTTATTTAATCAATAAGTCAAGTAAACCACAGCTTATTTATTTCTGATATTACAGGGTGTTCTAGAAAGAAAACAAGACGAAAAATTTTTTTCAGTAGAGGGGTGAGTATTAATTATCAGTAAGGTACTACTGAAATAGATGTTTTTGATCAGAAGACTTATGGATAGGTTTCCTGACTATATGGAAGTAGTTGGAGCAGTAAGAAGCAGAAATAGAAGTGAAGCAATTAAAATACTATTCCCTTACTAGAGCAAAGCTAAGTTAGTCCTTCAGTATGCAGTAATCGAGTGATAATCTTTAAATTATAACAAGACATGTAAACGAACAATATTGCTTTAAATTATATCTCATCACGTTTCACTCTGATATACAAAAATCTCAAAATGTTTATGAGATATGAACCATTCAAAGTAATTTGTGAGTCAACGATAACAGAGATAAGGATTGCGTACTTTAGAGTAATAAGATTAGTGACACTATGAGGGATAATACAAATGTTTAGAATGGCATGACAATGTTAACACGTGTTTAGACAGAAATACAAAGTAGGTCAAAGCTTGTAAAAGGTCAATAAGATTGCATAATACTGGGGGATGAAGGTGATGGGTAAATAAAGTTTAAATGTGAATGTATTAATCACGTGAAATGGGTGACAGAAACAAAATTAAAAGGGAAGAACAGCATTTTAAAATTCATAAGTGGGATCGTTCATCAACTCTTCCCTGGCCAAGGCAGGGATGAAAATCCTACAAATTTCTTTGGAATACAGAACTTTGGATTGTTCATTAGAATTCCTGTAGCCTTAGCTATAAATAAAAGGTAGCTTAGAACTCAATCGGGAGGGTCCGAAAGGGATATGGTAAATTACTTTAAATACTCTTTTACCACAATCAACTTGATGAAATAAAAAATAGATCTTATTGATGTAACTTTTCCCTTTCCAACCTATGAAGGTAGGTGTTCGATAATACGTTCGCTAGATTCCCTAGTCATACAGTCGACATAATTGTCTCCACAGGAGCAATTAAATTGATAAATACATCTGGAAATGAGGAAA